GAGGAACACCCACTATGCTATATCCTCTCTGTCTCTTTGTCTATATACAACAGTATGATGGATGAGGGCTAGGTGCTCACACTCTGGGGCCAAACCAGGTGTAGCCCAGTGGGAATGCTCCCACAGCTAAGAGCTCATTCCTAGGCTAGAGACTCCTACATAGAATTTTTAAACTAATAGATGAGCTGGTGAAGACCTTTATTTCATCTTGTCAGTAACAGAGGAATGGGGTTGTGGAGACAGGGCAGAGCTGAGACAAGTAACTCAGTAGCAGAGCACCACCTCAGCATTCACAAGGCCCTGGCTTCCATCTGTGGTACCACAAAACTGGAGGTGGAGGGTAGCAGAGGATTTACCTCACCTAATGCAGAACAGTTATTTTCTTTTGGAATGTGGGAAATGATGAATTACTATTGCTCTATAAAAAGGCAAGCAACTGGATCAAGGAAAAGAATTCATACTGGTCTGTATGAAAAGTGAAGGTTATTACAATAGAGAGACCAAATGCAAATGTAAGTGCTTACTTACCAGGCTGAGGTCACCTGAATTGGTTGCAAGGAATGAAACCAGGCTCAGGTTCGAGGGGTCACAGCAAGACTGAAGCTGTGACAATTTTATTGAGAGCAATCAGACTTTTTATATCTTTATCAGAAACAAAATATGATGGCAATTTCCAGGATCAATACAGTTGCAGTTGCCAGGAAACAATGAAGTTGGCAAGCTATACAGGGTACACAAGATTAATGTCTCAGACTAATTGTCCTGTCAAGCTTCCCTGGTTCCTCGACTACCAAGGGAGCATAGAGAGAAATGCAAAGTTGCCTGAACACTTCACTGCCTGTGTGAGTACATTGGTTTGTCAGGAATTGGAAGGCACATTGTACCCCAGGAAACATGGACTCTAACCTTACAAAATTACCACACATGTTTCTCAAGGCAGCTAGGCAATGTAACTCTATGGTTCACTGCCACCAAAGATTAAAAAGAAAAAAAAAGTTAAGATGATCCCACAGAGCTCAGGCATATGAGATATACCATACATGGGGGCACTGTGCAGATATAGATGAGGGTTTAGGAGGGTGGTCCACAGACTGTCATTGGCTCTGATGATTCCATAGGATTAAAATATGGATAAACTGCATCAGGGAAGGAAAGTTCACAGAATTTATACATGAGAGCTCCATGATTGGAAACATCATAAAATGAGAGAGTGCAAGCTTCTCTGTCCAGGAAAACTCCAACACGACTGGGAAGATGAGTCAGAGAGAGGATATTTGGGGTGAAAGAACACTTTTCAAAGCCATGATATAAAGATGTATTTACCATACCTATAACCCAGTAGCCATGTTTAGGCTGATAAGTTACATGATGTTTAACAACAGAATTATACATGATTTTGAAGCCATGGAAGCCATGCATTTCATTCACTGCATGAAGGTAGGGTTGAGCACATCTCCCATCATTTAATCCCAGGAGCCAGGCATCACTTCTAGACACATCTACTTCCCAGTAATGTTTCCCTGAGTAGATAGCTGGATATCCAAGGACCCCTAAATCATAGGTCTCATAATCTTGCAAATGTCTTCTATAATCCTTTCGATATTGTATTTGTCTTTTGCCCATGTTAATGACAACATTTTTATTGTAGGTTTGAGGCAGGGTCACGTGAACTGCAGAAAAATGAGACATAGAATTTAAGAGTCACATTAGAGGTAAGGTACAGCCTTATTTTGTTGTAAAGAGCAGAAGCCCAAGGAGAAAGTGAGAGCGAACTTAGAGAAGTCGTGTTTAAAGTCAAGAAGAGGCAGGTTGCTGTGTATATTGGGAGAAGTAACATGAATCAGGCTTAATGGGGATATAAATTCTGAAAGGCATTAAGAAGAGAGTGACATATAGTGGTGACATTTCCTTACCCCAGTAGCGCTGGGCATACATGATCCCTAAAATGATGAAAATTCACAGCATTAAATAGAAGCAAAGGAATCAAACATTAAAGTCAGTCTCCTCTCCAGATCAGGGGCAGGATTGCAAATTGTGATATGGGAAGGGATGAATGATGATTTCCCATTAAATAGGGTGACATCACTGGGACACACTATCTGTTCTTCAGAGCACAGCTACCCATGTGCAGAAACATCACTCTCTTCCCAAAGAGTGTAGCCCCAGCCATAGCTAGAATTCCCCCCTCCCATTTAACCACAGAATGTAGCTGTTCTCACCATGAAACACTTTCAGCATGTCTTTCAGGTCTGAAGCTTGAAAGTTCCTTCTCTGTTTTCTTGGGACCATTTTGGGCTGTGTCAGTATTAAGGTCTGACTCCTAGGGACAAAAGAGAGACCTCCACATATCAAACAGTATGACCTCGACCACCACCAACTCCCTATCATTCTAATCATAGATGTCCTGGAGCTTTCTGGAGAATTCTGAGAAGAGAAAGAGAGTGTAGATTACTAACTCTGTAGACACGGGAGACACCCTCATAACGCCTCCTACTTACATGCTGTGAGATGGTGGGAAATCCTAATTCTTAGGAGCAGAACTACTCGCTTGTATAGTAAAAAACTTGATAATGATGAATTGGCAAATTTTAAAACAAATCAAACTAAGGTACCTAAAAATTAATTTCTGAGCCAAGCATGAAGTCACAGAATTTAATCCCTGGACTTAGGGGGCAGAGGCAGGTTGATCTCTGAGATCAAGCATGGTCTACAGAGTAAGTTCCACACAAGCAAAGGCAAGAGATATGGGCAATTCAGAAACTGTTCCTGGGTAATAGACTCAAGGAGTGTGAGAAAACCATCTGGAGAAAGCCAAGACTTCAAACACATTTTGTCAATATGAACACTCTTGGTCAGCTTCAGAATCTTCAAGTTCTTTTTTGGATAAGTAGATAGGAACATCAAAGTAATGCTGACATGAGCCCAATAGGTACAGAATGAACCTGATGCCAGTATCCTTGGTGTGACTCTTTACATAAAAGGGCACAGCTATGCAGTTTTCTGAAGTGTGTGGCTCACATGGAACAGCTGTGCCTACAGACTCAAGTCTGTTTTGTGAAAAAGCTAAGTACAGCCACAAA